AGGACAAGTAAAAGTTCTATACTTGGGATGAAATAATTGAATACAGACTGGAAAATGACTGGCTGGGTTGTTGTACTGCAGAAGACCTGAGAGTTATAGTAAACCATTAGCTGAATATAAGCCACCAGGGTGCTCGTTACCAAAAAGGCCAAAAGCATACTGTCACTTGCAACTAAAGGGAAGTGATTCTTATGCTGTATTCAACACTGATTACTTTGTTGTCTTCAGAGTACTTCACAAGAGATTCTTCGAGGACCTGCTCCATGGTCTGTCCAGTTACTAAGGTCAGGATGACTGGTCTGCAATTCCCCGAATCCTCCCTCCTTCCCTTTCTTAACCATGAGCACTGTATTTGCTATTTTCTAGTCAGCTGGGACCTCATCCACCCTCCACAAATTCTCAAAGAGGATACCTTATAGATCTGAAATTACATCAGCCAGTTCTTTCAGTACCTGAGGGCACATCCTGCATGACCCTGCCGACATGAAAGCATCTAGTTTCTCTAAGTAATCTCTAACCTGTTCTTCTATTACTCTAGGCTGTGTGTCCCCTTCCCTATCTTTGCTGTCAACTGCACTTGTCATCTGGTAGCTGCCCCTATTTGTGAAGACTGAAGTAAAAAGGTATTAAGTACTTCAGCTTTCTCTGCATCACCTGTACCTAGATAGTCTTCTGTGTTCCATAAGAGACCTATAGTTTCTCTGATCTTCCTCTTACTTCTAGAATCCCTCTTTACTGTTTTTTATGGCCTTTGCTAGTTGCATCTCAAATTGTGCCTTGGCCTTCCTAATTTTCTTCTTGCATGCCTGTGAGATGCTCTTATTCTCTTCCCTCATACTATGACCAAATTTCCACTTTATGTAGGATTCCTTTTTGAGTTTCAACTCACTGAAGAGATTGCCATCTAGCCAGGCTAGTTTCTTGTTTCACTTCCCATTCTTCCATTACAGTCAAGATAGTTTGCTCCTGCACCAGTAAAAGGACCTCCTTAAAGTACAGTCAGCTCTCCTGGACTCCGTTCCTACCTCAGATTTGCCCCCCAAGGGATCCTACCCACTAGTTCCCCAAGTTAAAGTCTACTTTTCTGAAGTCCAGGGCCCTTACTCTGCTGCTCTCCCCTCTTCCTCCCCTTTGGATCTTGAACTCTGCCACTGTCACTCAAGTTACCTCCCACTTTCACACTCTCAACCAACTCCTCCTTGTCTGTGAGCAGTAAGTCAAGAAGAGCCCCCCACCTTAGCTGGCCTCCCTGCCATCTGTATCAGAAAGTTATTCCCAACACACTCCAGGAATTTGCTGGATTGTTGTGTACTGCTGCATTTTCGTCCCACCAGATGCCCCAATAATTATAAAATCCCCCATGAGAACTAGGTCCTGCGATCTGGAAGTTTCCATCAGTTGTTTAAAGGCGGCTTCATTTACCTCCTCCTGGTTCAGAGACCTGTAGCAGATGCCCACCATGACATCCCCCACTGCTGCTCTCCCCTCTGACCTTTCAGCAGGTCTACGTTTCACTTTGCACTGGACCTCAGAACACTTGTACAATCTCTACAACCCTACTCTAAACCTGTACCGTGGTCTTGATGAATGATTCCCACTCTGCTTACCAGCCCCAAAGCCCCAAGTTCCAAAATTGTTTTCAGGTATAAGATCTCATTCCCATTTGCAAAAGCCCTGGATGTACAGCAGTGTCACTGATAAAACTGGCCCCTCTGCTCGCACATACTAGTGGCTGACAGGTCATGGTAGGACTGACTTGTATCAACCCCAGATCTGGAAAACCTTTCACTTGGATCTTCATCCACTCCGTTTGTCCATCAGTGCCTCAGAAACTGAACAAGCCTTTTCATAATGGACTGTCTCAGTTCCTCCAGTTGTAAAATACATGTAATTCTTAACTACTATCATGGCTGTTATGCAGCTCAGTTGATCTATATTTGTGAAGTACTCTAGTTCCTTGGAGGATGGAATGAGTCTAATTCTATGGCGGCAGCACACAGCTCTGTTGTCAGAATCCCCCTGTGATGGGGCATTGTTGGTGCCTGCCACTTTAAGGGCTGAGACAAGCAGCCAGCAGGTGCCTGATTGCGGTGGCCATTTTAGATCTTCGGCCACCTATGTAAACAGAGCAGTTCACTGCTGGCAGGCAGGGAGAAACATTGCCTGGCTGTAAGGCTGTATACAACATCCTGGAGGTAAGAGCAAGAGCTGTAGGGGATGGCTTGGAGGCTCCTGGTCCTGGGCATGATCTAAAACTGCACCCTGCCAGGAGTGGGTGGCCTGGTGGTGCTCCCAGTGGCACAGGAGCCCCCAGGAAATACCAAGCCAGTTACCATGCTGGTGAAAGGCAAGTCGGAGCGCCTTAACCCCTAGCCCCCACAACACCGTGGGTAGAAGGGGGCAGGCATGGCTACAGCCACCTGAGCTCAAGGAGTGTAGAAGACCCAAATGGGGCCAGGCACGGTTATGGCCACCTGAGCCCAACCAGAGAGGGAAGCCCTGTAGCCCCCAGTGAGGAGGCAGAGATGAGGAGCCCCCACTGAGGGGGGGAAAACAGAGGGCTGGGAGCCCAGTATGTGTGTGTGAGTGTGTATAGAGCTGTGCTCAGTGAGGGGCGTGGGGTGGAATTAACCCAGGGTTCAGCACAAGGCCGGACCACACAGAGCGGGGGAACTTGTGGGAACCAAAGGGACTGAGTAGAGAGGCTGGTATGCGAGTAGCAAAGCCTGATGGCCCAGAGGGGTCACTCAAGAAGAAGCAGGACAGTGGAGTGTGGCCCGGTAATGGACAGTATGCCAGAGGCCCCAGTGAGAGAGGGGCAGAGTGGAAGAGGCCTCCTGTGAGGGGAAGTGGTATGAGTGTGCATATGCATGGAGCCCAACTTAGACTCCATTTGCTCTGGTCTCAGGCTGGGAGTAATATTAACCTGGATACCACTTGCGAGGCTTGGACTGCAGTATAGGGGAGGAATGGAGCCACAGATAGCGTCGCCCAGCATTGGGACAAGAATGGGCAGCCTCCTGCCTAATTAACTCCATAATTATGTATCATCAAGGCGTGGCAGATGAGGAGGCAGGCAGCTGGCCCAGAAGCAGGTGGGCAGGCCAATGACCGAGGCCCCGAGAGCCCCCTGTTACACCCCTGATAGCAGCCCTTCAGGAGTGCTTACTGAACAGTTTTCTGAAGGGACCAGCACCTCCATACACTATTAAACATTCAAACTTTTGGATGTAGAAGGCACCCTGCTCCACAGTTCCAGCGCAAGATGGAAAGCCATCCTTTTCAGCTGAACTACAGTCACAACTAGATACTCGCATCTCATGGATTGGAAAAGACCACTGTCCACAAGCAGCTTCACAAGTACTGCCCCTCATAAAATGTGGGATCACAATGAGACAGACAAAGGTGTAAAAGCTACTAGATTAGGCAGGGTGGAAGAAACTCATTTTCCCCGCTAGGGAAAGCTTCCTGCTGCCCTTGCTTCAAGCTTTTCTACTTTCTCTGCAAAACTTATTTTCCCACAGCTGTCCAACAGTGGTTTCCTTCCTGAAGTCCCTCCCTCCCTAACTTCTCTGGCAAGACAGACCACGAGATACTCTGGGCAGCACCTGTCTACCATCTATTCTGTACAGCCCACTAGCATTTTACAGCTCTATATAAATCTTTGCAACAGCAGTGAGGGATTCAGTTGCTCCTCCAGTAGTACTCTTCCCATATATTACCTTTAGCATTTTACTGCATGACTGAGGCTGCATAAACATATGCCATTATTAGGTCATCTACATGCTGTTCGTTCCCAGCTTCAACTATGATGCGCTAGCATACAATCAAGCTGACTTCTAAAAGTGACAGGACCAGTCCTTGGTTTACAACGAAAGCTCAATACCTCCAGGCCTGGAATGACACTTCAACCAGCAGGGGTCAATAAATAAATTTAAAGAAAGTCCTGCAACAACACTTGCAACTTCCAAAGCTGAGCAGCGCTATTACCCCTCTGAAATAGCCATGTGTCTTTCCTTCACCAACAAGGTTTTCTTGCACTGTGAAGATGCACAAGCCTTCCATAAACTCTAGGGCAGTAGCTCTCAATCTGTTTAGAGTTTAGAAAAATACCAGCTCTTAATTTTCACTAGTTTTGTGACTATGGAGAAAGAGAGCAGTTTCTGTTGCAAAGTACTCAGAAAAACCACAAAAGTCAGGATGTTTTCAACACTACAGATTCTTATTTGATGTTTCTGGGTTTACCTTGTGACTCATTTCTATGCCTAATAGTGCTAACGTTGCATCCCACAGCACCTTGAAAGGATCTCAAGGCACCCCAAGGTGCCAGAGCACCCTGGGTGACAATAACTGTTCTAGGGCTTTAAACAGCACCTGCCAATTAATACATCAGCTGTGAAAGCTGCTGAGCCTGCCTGGCTACCACTGACCGCCGTGTCCCAGTGTCCCAACTGCATGAGGATCTGTCCAGAGATACGCAAGTTCACCCAGAGGTTGCTAAGATGTAAAATAGCTCATTGCATGTTGGGATCTATAGTTGCATGGAATACAGACTTCAGTGTTTAAATAGTAGCAATGGCAACCTGTTCTATTTGATATAAGTTAGATTCAGCTGTCTAGTTCCTTGCAAACTACTCAATAGGCTCATGTGTTGAGCCACTTCTATAGGTTATTGGCAACTCCTAGGGCATCATACATGATTTAGGGTAGTTGAGAAACCAGTATCTCACACACCTGTGCACCACCACTGCTCTGGGAAACATCTGCTGTAGTTCTGAGTCAGTACTCCTATCAGAATAGACTTTCCCTGTCAAAAACCTTAAAGTAGCTGCAAAGCTTGTAATGTCTGCATATGCAAGAAGCCCTCTTAAGAAACAGCCAGGAAGATTTTGCCTAATTCATGAGTGCAAACAAAGTCATTACATGCTAATCATCAAGTCACTCACCCCTTTCTTTCCCCATATGCTGAAAGGGCAGGAAACATAAGCTTGGTTACATACCTTTGCTTCCTCATTGATGTCCCAAGTAAAGGATATGGCATTATAAGCAATCTCTTCAATGTTACTGATTGTGTTGAAGCTCTCCTTATAGTCAGCTGTCAGGGAGGACAGGAAGAACAGAGGAGCAGAGAGTACAAGTTTATAAGTATCTAAATATCATAGCCATACATAGCAGATGAAGTGACCAACTGCAGTTCTCTGAACAGTCCGCCAGGGGTTAATGCAACAGAGAAGCTTTCAAGGTGGGGGAATCATTACCAAAGTTGAAAATACTTTGTATTAAAAAGGAGAGGGAGGTGAATGAGAACAAATAAATAAATAAATAAATAGAGAAAGTTAGCAACGCCAAGCATGGCAGGTACAGGGTATGTGCCATACCCTGTAGTTATGTATGAGAAATGTCATACTGCATGACAAGGGTATAAGCTCTGAATAAAGCTCCTTCAATAATAAACAAAGATTTGCATGCGCGTCTGCTTTAAGTGCCAAGTGATTAATCCCTGCCTTTATTCACAGAAGGAAAGGGCTGGGAGTGCAACCCAGCTTTCAACCAGGGAAATTTGGAAGCCAGCCAGTCACAGCCTTGTCTGCAGGCAAGTGGAAATTTGCAGTGTGTTCTTTTTTAACTGAACCAAAGCCTCATTGTGAGAGCAGCACTGGGAAGATGGACAAATAGTGCTAAAGTATTTTGATAGGGGTCTTGTCCTTCATAGCTCACCAAGCCCATGAACTATACCGAGACTTTCAGAAGTAGCCAGTGATTTGGGAAGGGGACAGTTCAATTTCTGGAAGCTGAGATGCCATAAAGGGGCCTATTTTTCAGCATTTTCAGAAAGCTGCGCTCTTCAAGGCATCTCCAGTTAGAAAAACTTATAACCACTGCTGAAAATCCACTGACCACAAGCTTCTCCCTGGTTCTACTGCAAAGCTAAGTAGAGAGCTCAGTGAGGTTCCCATTAATAATGAAGCACCAGCAGAAAGTTGAACCTTGCCAAGAAAATCAGATTGAGAGTTTGACACCAGCAATTAGAGAGTTTCTTACCTATGTCAATGCATCTTTGTTTGGCTGTGTGCTGTCGTGAGTGCCAATATTTCCAGTGCCTGAGCTGATCTTCTCTTGTTTTGTCTTCAGCAAACACTACCATGATGACGCTCTTTGTGAAAAGGAGAGGGGGGAGGAGGAGGTAAATATATATCTGTATATAAAAGAAAGCTTTAAAGGATAAGTTTGTAAGTTTGGCTTGGAAGCTTTGCTTAGGTTTGCTGTACTTTGCTTTCAAAGCTCAAGAAAAACCATACTACCCCTGGCAAAACGAATCCTACTTTCCAACAGAGAGACATACTGAGGTTCTTCTGCAACATAAGAGATGATGACGACCAGAAGTTTCTCAGGTAAAGAAAAAGTAAAGGTTCTCATTCCAGGTGTCAGCACTGCATGATCCCACCACCAGTGACAACCCTGCTCAGCAGACGAAGATACCAATAAGTGAATGAGCCAGGAGACTGACCGGCTGTTCCCTTTCAAGCTGGCATGGCAGAGTAAGGAAGCCAGCCCTACTCCTGCAGGATTCAGTCTGAACTGCGCGTTTAGAGGGACTGGATGACTCTTAGCTCAGGCCCTCTGAAGACTGGCAGCACACACCATATCTCCCAAGAAGTTGTATGAGTCACCACTCACTCGGACTTTGCTGATAGGATGGTGGATTCCTTCACTGCTGCTGACTTCTTTCAGTGTGATGGGATAAAACTGGCCCTTGTTCAGATAAGTCATTGTGCTGTCTCCTGGCTTCTGTCGAAGGGATTTGGAAGCTTCCAGAGTATATTCAAAGTTATTCCTATAAAATGGATAAGGTGAGGATTGCTAAGGAGTTCTGCTGAAAAGCCGATTAAAACAGTTTTACAGTCAATTTGGAGAAGGTCCAGAGGATTCTCAGTTTACACTAAGCCCATCATAGTGACAAAGGGGGAAAAGCAAAACTAGTCCAATTTATGGCCATGCCCTTCCCTCAAAAAAAAAAAAAAAAAAGCTTGGCACCTTAATTCCCTAGGCCTTCATCAGGA